TGCATGTCGTGGTGAGCCAATCGGACTGAGACAATGGCTAGGCACCCTCGTGCAAGGTGCACACCTCGGACAGGGGTCACCTTGAGGCTGGGATGCAGCCTCACAAAGCCATGGCAGCAGGCGCTCCCTCTACTCCCCAGAAAAGAACCAGTGGGCGTGGCACGGGGGGGGGGGCCAAGGGCACAGAGCACATCACCAGGCTGAGACAGCAGCAGAGAACACATCTGGGGTTGCGGGAGGAACGTGGCACGGTGGGTTTTTTTTACGGTCTAACTGGAAAAATTAATTCAAATTGGGCTTTGTCCAAGCACCCCCTCGCGGCCCGACACCTGGAGGCAGGGCCATAAACACAGCGCTCTGACGGACGACAGAAACAGTGTGCGGTGAGGGGGTGTCCGGCGGGGAGCTCTGGGGACCAAGTCTTATTTAACATCTTCATTAGTGATCTGCAAGGAGCAGTAAATAGCACATTAATTAAATTTCCAGATGATACTAAACGTAGAGGTGCTGCAGAAAGTCAACGAGGACAGAGACATGGCGCCGGAGTCCGAAGGGGTTGCTCAGGAGCGTAAGAAACAGCACAGGACTCAGTCTCAGGGAGGAAGCGGAGCTAATTAAACACTCTGCCCACAGTCTGTGGCTCCATCTCCTTCCCGTCAGATGAGTGTGGAAGAACAATGCCGGCGGCCCTTGTCCTCCGAGCTCTCACTCTGCAAGATCCGGAATCTAATGGTTCGGCGAGGCCCAGATGCACCCCGGCAATCACAATTCTCCTCACCCGCCATCCGAAACTCCGAAGCCAGAACAGATCCCGGTAATGTAGACACTGCAGTCACCCTCTGGCGACCCAAACCCGGGGGGGGAGGGTTGTACAGATGAACCCCCCTGAGTCCACCTGTGACCCACGCACCCCGATTAGGAAGACAGGCTGCAACGGGGCTACAAAGGCCATCACGGAACCCCGTGTCCCAAGGAGTAACGCCACAGGAATGAGGACACGTGGGACTCACCCAAGCAACGGAGCATTATTCCTAAACAGAGAAAGGGGACCTGTGTTTCAGGTCGGAGATAATTGGCTGCACCCCATGTTCGCTGCAGCACTGTTTACAACAGCCGAGACACGGAAACGTCCCAGGTGTCCACCGCCAGATAAACAAAGAAAACACGCACGACACGCACCCTCACCATACGACACGCACCCTCACCACACGACACGCACCACACACGCACCCTCACCATACGACACGCACCGTGCACACTCAGCCGGAAGGGCCCTCCACATACGACACACACCGTGCACACCCCACACACACAGCATACACACTCATGGCACACACACACAGCACGCACACTTACAGCACACACTCACACACAGCATGCACACTCACAGCACACACTCCCCACACACCACACACACAGCACGCACACTCACGGCACACACACACAGCACGCACACTCATGGCACACACTCCCCACACAGCATGCACACGGCACACTCACACACAGCATGCACACACAGCACACACTCCCCACACAGCATGCACACAGCACACTCACACACAGCATGCACACAGCACACACTCCCCACACTACACACACACAGCACACACTCCCCACACGGCACGCACACACAGCACACACGCAGCAAGCACACAAAGCACACACACACAGCACACTTATTTTCAAAGCAACCGTGTAAACTCAAAGTGCATTTTTCTTCTCATCTGGTGCAGAGATAAAGTGGACGCTGCCGCTTTCAACGAAAAGCTGTGTGTACTCTCGCCCCTGCTCCAGGAGCCCCGGACCGGAAGCCACAGGGCAGCTCGCCCCACAGGTGACGCAGCGAAGTCCTGGGATAACGCGAAAGGTGGGGCCGTCGGCCAGAAGGGCCCAGAGCATCACCCACAGGCCGGTGGCGATGGCGGCCACGCCAGGCAACGGCCTGAGCACGAGCCATGCCCACCATTTACCTCTCAGGAGAGACAGTCTCAGCAAAGCCCCACATCATCCCGCGCCACCTCCGGTGGCCATCGCATAAGCCCTGAGGACGCAGGCGCCTCTATGAACAGTGTTCTCACAGGCGGGAGCGGCGGCGGCGCCACCCTCGCTTCCCGGAGGTCTGCAGGGCCGGCCAGGCGGCACGGCTCTCCCCAACCTGGGCTCCAGCGAGCTCCCGCCACACCGGAGCAGGGCGCTGAGAGGGTCCCCTGGAGCCTGTGGTGTGGGGGCAGGGAACTGAGCTCAGTACCGCTCCCACGGACCCCGGATGCCTGAAGTAGGAACACCTGCCCAGCTGGTCACCTCGGGGAGAGGCCAGCAATGTGCCTGAGTCTGCCATGTGCTTCTCAAGCAGGATCTTCGTGTCTGTGACGATATTTAGAGAAACGCCCGAGAAGCACAAGAAAGCTTCTAAAATGGCATCGGGCTAAGGGCACGGCCAGCAGGGACCGGGGGGAGGGGCGGACTAGAGGACGAGAGGGAGGAGGTCGCCTGGAGAGGACGCTGGTGCCCCCTGCTGACCAAGAGGGGGCCGCAAGGCCGCAGCCAGCCACGACCTGTGCACGCACACAACAGACACACGACACGCGCATAAACACCGCACGCATCCCATGTACACAAGACAGCACACACAGCCTGCACACACACCCCCCACACACGACAAACGCGACACACAACACACGACACACACACACAACGTACATGTGACAAACAACACAGACAAGACAGAGTACACGACGGACACACACATGACGAACACATACACAGCGGGCGCACAACAGACACGAAAACAAAGAAATTCTGGAAGAAGGGAATTAAAGCAACAAAGTCACAATTTTCAAAAACAGTCTACTTGAGTTTCTCCAAAACATGCTTTTTCCTCACGGAACCGTCAGATAACCTGTGAGAACAAGAACGTGAATGTGGGGACCAGGAAATACACGACGGCTTAAGCACGGGAGGCGGCACCCAGGGCCCCCCGACACTGCGAGAGCCCCCGGGAGTCACGTGGGACCCCTTTCCCAGCCCTGCTCCTCCAGGTCCTGCTCCGGCCGCAGAAGCTGGGGAAGGTGGTGTGGGCTGATCTTGTTCACCCTCCCCACCCACCCCGCCCCACCCCCATATTAAATGTTTGCGAACACGAATCTAAGAAGTTCTAACGGAGAGTCAAATTTCCCTAATAAAGAATCAAATTTCAAAAAAACATAACAATAAAGCAGGTTTTGAAGCACGTTTTGCACGAGGTGACGTGGGGACGCAGCTGCAGGGGCAGGGCCTGCCGTGAGAGACGCAGTGCTGTGCTGTCCCCGAGGGGCGGGTGCGTCCGGGCTGCAGGGACCCGGCCTTCCGGGGTGACCGTCGGGCGAAGACCGATGGTGCACTTCTGCTGCAGGCCCGGACACCCCGCCACCTGTCGCGGC